AAGAAGAAGCGCTTCTTGCCGTTAAAAGAAAGAAAGAGGAGGTTGAAGAAGAACAAACGCAAACCGAAGAAGAAGATGAATTACCGACCAAAATTCGTAAACTTGACGATGTAAATGAAGAACAGACCCGAAGGGAATCTCAAATTGGGCTGGGTGGTGAAGGCTTTCCTTCAGACTTCTTTTCGGATCCCACTCGAACCTTACCAGCGCAAGATGACGATGAAGAGAGTGTGAGGGACGATGATGGTGATAAGTCGAAAGAATCGAGTAAACAAGATCGTGATAGGCAAACTCTTGACAGTGGTCAGGCCGCACACCCACCATCCATCATTGATAGGGAATGGGCCGAATTCCAAGCTTCCGTCCTTGACACCGATGATAAGGAAACAGGAATCCTTGAAGTTTTCGATCGAGCCACGATATTTGCCGAACCCGAACTGGTCGATGAAATACCTGAAGGTATTCCCGCGTCCGTTATAACCCCTAAGGAGGCCGTTCCCAGCTTAAAGGAATCTCAAAAATCAGAACAACCGCCAGATGAAGCACATGAACTCCGACGTCGCCAGGAGGATGAGAGAGAGCTTATCATGGATCGACTAATCGAGGAAGAAAGGCTGCAGGAAGAAGCGGATGAACGCGTGTCAGTATTAAAAGCTCGTCTCGAGTTGATTAAACAGAGGAGAGTATTGTCTAAAAAATCAAAGCAATCGTAAAAAAAATTATTAAATTATACTAAAATAAAAATCCGCGCTATCGACTATATACGACACTATAAACCAGATCTTCTACACCCATTACTTGCCATAAAACATCCATCTGTCCGAACGGTCTTTGGCTTCCGAGCAAAGTGCTTGCAAATTCATACTTGTTCTTAGGATCTTTTATCATCGCACATAAACTTCCATAATAATCGCCAAGCTCCTTAAGAGCCGTTCGATGGATTAAAGTCGCCAGTCGGGGGACAGCCAATAATTCTAGTCTTGGAGAGGAAATAACATCGAGTTTTGACAAGAATGAATCGAAAGCACGTAATGCAGCTGTTACTTCTTGGGTAGTGGCTGAAGATACGTGAGATAAAGGTATCTATAATATTGTTAGTACAAGAAATGGACTGTTTTAATAACTTGCAGTTGCATCATGCGCTTTCATGGTTTCTAAAATAGGAGCCAGCCCGCTTTCTTGCAAAAGGCGTGTGCACTAGAGAAATCCCTGTTAATTAAAGGAATATTGTTCTGTCGAAGTGATCCTCCTTACATGCTGTTCGCTAAGAAGTTTGACATAACTTTGTAGTATAGCCTCTAATTCCTCAATCCGTTCGTTTGTGAATGGATAAGGTTGCATGACACTCTAAGAAGCAATGAAGAGCAGATGACGCAAGGCCCCACGGAATATTTACCTGAAGATAATCTAAACAATTCACTAAAAAGATGCTTTTTTCCCAACCGGTCACATCTTTCGTATTCATATCTGCCATACGCCGGCACATCTCTAAAGCAGGATCAAGGACGGTGTCAAGGATGCGTTTGAAACCTCGCCGCTGTTCTTCGGGATTTTCAATATTTAAGACAGAGGATTCGTACACGATCATAATTTCTCGCAGAACTTGACAGAAGTCGCGTAAGGCCAAGGGAGCAGAAAGGTCATCATCAGGCGGCTAGGTTAGAAAAAATTCCAGAATATGCAAAAATAAAAACCTGACATGAAGTATACTTACATGTAAGAAACGTAGAAGACTGCGACCTTGAGCTTCAACGGCGTCAAAAAACGCTTTGTAGGCTATATCGGTTATCCTAGAAAATGTTCGGTAAATTTTTCGTGATGATTTACGGGGTCAAGGACATGAGTTACTCACTCGCCCAGAGTTTGGCATAATAGCGCATCATCTCCTATAGTTCGTCGCATAGTAATCAGGTAAAATTGAAGAATATTGGCTATTTTATAGGACGTAATGATACTTTCTTGGGATTTAACTGTTTGTTGAACGCGCAACTAAATGTGAAACGTGTTAATACTACTTTTATGCAATCTAAGAGGGATTTATACCCGAAGTGGTACTGATAGCTTTTCGATGCTTCCGTTTAACAACATCCTCACCCACCGCTCCTCATCACTGTCTTGTCTGTTTGTCCGAACAGATCCAACCATTCGTCCGTCGTCTTTGATATCGAAAAGACCGTTCAGAAATTCATGCTCTTCTGCTACAGCTTGGTGAACCCACCCGAGCATATCACCTATATATCGAGTGGGGTCATGTGCGTGAATTTCTATTGGCCGCGGAAAGCCTGATGGTCCCCCTCTTGTTAAAGCATCCAAGAATTGAGCCAACAAAGCTGATTGTCTAGTTTGTGATAACGATTTAAGAGCTTCCCTGGTATGGACATGAGCAAATTGGGAGGTTTACAAGGCTTAAAACACACGAAAATAGATCTGGTTGGTGCTTTAATCTTTTCATGCTATCTTTCATAAGAGAATCCACCTCAAGTTGCCTATCTTTTCCAAACTGGCGAAACTCAAAAGAGCACCAACGATAAATTTTTTGATAAGCTTGATCTAGCAGAGACGAGGTTACGGCCATAGTATCAAGGCTACGGGAAAAGTTAATAATGCTCGCAAAAAAAATAACTAACATACCCGGCATTAGTACCACTATCTTCACTTAGCAATAGTTGACATCGTTCGCGAATTGTTTCAATGCGGTCAATGGCCATTAACATTTGGTTACCTACGGGAATATCCCGAGATGTCAAGGCCTCCGTTTCCTCCTGGGTTAAAGAAAATTCGGAGAGAAATGCATTAACAATTAACAGTCGAGCCCCCATTTGTTGCCTATGCTCGAATGTCCATCAAGAATTCCTTCCCTTTAAAATGAATATCAAACTAACCTTTGGGAGCGTAAACCTTCCGCTTTATCAAGAAGATGTTTACATGCATCAGTGGTCGTTTTCAATTTGGCTTCAGCTTCGTCACATTGAATAGTCATTTCCTGAATAAAGTCCTCAAGCATGTTGAGCTTCTGTTTGACGACATGTGAGAACAAACTAGGTTAACAGAAAAATTTATACATCATCAACGTCACCAAAAGCTTTCAAGAACTTTTCACTCCCTTCTGCAAGCCGAGCCTCTGTGTCACGTCTTAAACTTTTCCGAGCACAAGTAGCAGTATCTCCTGAGTTGTACGTTCGAACTTCTCGTAGTTTACCACTCTCTGAAGCATTATTTAAATGATTGCCGCGAGTATTTTCACCATGATCTGCTCGTCTTGTCGAAGTAGGCAGGTGAGAAGGGGCATAATAAGTAGAAAGCGTTTCTAGTGCATCCCTTGTTCTGGGGTCGTCGTAATTTGCACCTAGAACTTTATATAGTCGAAGGGAAATGGGATTCCAAGTAGCGTTAGATGTTAATCCCTTGCTATGGATTATTGGAGAGGAAATCACAGTTTCTCTGGGAGATGAAGGGCCAGCGAGACTAGACATACCTGACACTGGTCCTCTTACGAAGATTTACGTTTAGCGCTCGAGGGGAGGTTCGAGTCTAGCTTCAACTTCAAACCGTAACACATAAAATGGTGATTTCTCAACAATGAATCTTGTCCAGAATAGTTAATTCTTCGTCAGATAATTTCATGTGTCTCTCGGTGGCCAGCAGAAGGGAGATGTTTTGGACAGATCACCCATTCCGTCCTTCGTCGAAAATTCACCACGCAGCAATTCAAAAACAACCCAGCTCCTTTTTTTTCTAATTTACACGATTTTCATAACAAAACTGTTACCGTTTCCGACACAAATACACCCAAACTACTAGAACCGGCTTCCGCAGATTCATTGAATATACGATTTAATTTGCTAAAGGTTTCTCGATTAGCGAAGATCTACTCTCAACTATCTAAATCAAGATTAACATATCTAATTATTCTATCAACTATGTCCGGTTTCGCCCTTTCCCCTTTACCCACTACCGTTCCTATGTTGCTCTCCACCGCTGTTGGAACGGGTTTATGTTCAGCATCCGCCAATACATTCAATCAAATAGTCGAGGCCCCGTTCGATGCTCAAATGTCACGTACGAAGACGCGTCCTCTTGTCAGGGGAGCGATATCTCCTGGTCATGCTACAATATTCGGGGTCGCTACTGGCGTAACTGGCATTACAATGTTGGCGTGCGTCAATCCAATAGCTGGCTCCCTAGGGGCTTTAAATATAGTTCTTTATGCCGGAGTATACACCAAAATGAAGCGAAAAAGTATCATGAATACTTGGGTCGGTTCTGTTGTAGGGGGCATTCCTCCTTTAATAGGCTGGACGGCGTGCGGTGGTCACATTTTACCTACCGCCAATTACTCCATCGGTATATTCCTACCCCCGTTTCTTTCCAGTACCTTGGATGCTTTCCCACTTTCATCCTCCAATAACTTCTTATCAGCTTGCACTCTTTTCTGTTTATTATATTGTTGGCAATTTCCTCACTTTAATTCATTAGCCCACCTTGTCCGAGAGTCATACGCCCAAGGAGGTTACAAAATGCTATCGGTGATGAATCCAATGCATAACGCGTTGGTGTCATATCGTTATGCGTTGTGTTTAATTGGGGTCTCTTCCATCTTGACCCCCCTAGCCGGATTAACGACCTGGACTTATGCTATTACAAGCCTTGTCCCAAACATATACCTTACACGGGCGGCTCACCGTTTTTGGAAATCAGGTACTCAGAAAAACGCGAAGGCACTCTTTCACGTTAGTCTGTGGTATTTACCCCTCGTCCTGGCCCTGATGATGCTTCACAAACAAGGGACGGACTGGTTAGTCCTTCTCGGCTTCAGAGAGTCTTCACCCAAAAACACAACCCAAGTGGATGGAGTAGATTGAAAGGCGGTATAGACTAGATTTCAGCATTAGCACCGAACTGGAGGAAGCAATGTATGTTGGTATTTTTAGTATAACTGTACGCAGGGGACATTCAACGATATTTTCTTGTGATCCTACTAGTTAATCCTTGAAGTATATACACACATGGTGAAACGGTATCATGCTTGCCTTCCATTCTTTGTTATAGCAAGCGGCGCGGGTTCGACTCCCGCTGTGTGTAATTTTTCTAATGAGTGATCTTTTGTGAATTGGTCACTTGGTCCTCTATTTTCTGCTATTTGTTGATGACAGCCTGAATCAGCAAAGTTTTCCGGCGGGCTGTTCTTTCTTGTATTTGGCTTACCTTATTATTTCGAATTTAGGCCCCATTTTAAAAATAATCCTGTATTGCCCTCTTCTTTGAAAGAAGCTGGTTCTGACACAAGGGTGAATACATAATTAATCTTTGAAACCAGCCCATCTGACTCAGATATGTTGGTTGTGATACATGTGAGGGCCGATTATAATATTAGTTTTCAAATATGTTAGCCATTGAATTAACTCCCTGAACACCTTTACACAATTGCATATACACATTGAAAAGGATATAGATATGAAATGGGTGTGTAACATGGACTTATAGTTATTGAGTACATAGGCTTTCTAGAAAAATTATGGGGATATAATAGAAAATGCAGTCTATCTTAAAAATACAACAGTGGCAATGTCTGAAAAATACTATAACACAAAATTATAGCTTCACAAAAGACTAAGAAAATATGGAGACGACGAGAATTGAACTCGTGACCTCTTCAAGCTTTTAGTGCAAATGAAGCGTGATAGCCCCTACACCACATCCCCGATGACACTACGACGTTGTGGTGAAAATCCTGACAAGCTTTGGGGTAATTTGTCAAATACCATGGGATCACGTTAATTACTTCAACCCAAGTTTCTCACATGAAGATTATTGTTTATGGCCAGAAATTTCTAGGGAACGGGGAAAACATAGGTATACCAGAGCAACATTTATGCTGCGTTATCACTAGTGGGGAAAAACAGATTCGAAGACAGTCAGCAATTTTTGGATCTTGTTAAAAGCTTTGAATTAAAAGTGAAGGATGCATGTTGTAGAAAAAAATTTACCTTCTCTATGTGTCGACATAGTACGCTCGCAGTTCTAGGCCATTCAAATATGAGAGGGAACTCAGCTGAAAGTTGATCAGACGTTGATAAAGAAGACGAATCAATATTCGGACCCTTTTCTCTAAAGGCTCATCAGTCATTATTTGGAATGTATAAGGCTAACTCGGTTTACTTATAAAGCTCCGTCTGCTGATCCTCCCAGGACTGAATTTCTTCTAGGGCCTTAATAACTTGCAGTCGCATGGCTTTATAAGAGAGTATCTCATATATGGAAAGGCCTCTTAGCCAAATAGGAAGAGAGGGGGACTCGTCATCGGGTTTCATATTTTCTGGGGAAGGAAAATACCGCATGAAAAACAAAGGGATGAGCAAGGATTGATTGGATTGTCGCAAATGATAAATGTGCTAACCATTAAAAGATCAGTAGCAATACTATTGTAATGTTTTTATAAAACAAGACTCACAGATGAGCAGGTTTGTAAAACGAGGTTTCGGTAAGTCTCCCTCAAAACACTATTCTGTGCTCTGCGAAGGATATTCTCAAGAATAAAAACGTCCTTCTTCCGCAATGGCTTCCCGTCCACAACTTCTGAAAGGCCTTTCTTAGAATATAGACGATTCCATTGCAATGCATGTGCAGAATTTGTAACAATTCTTTGTCGATAGATTTCGCTCAATGAAAGAAGGTCGAGCAATTCCGGGGTGTTATCCCAAAGCATAGTTGGGTAGATGATTCTATTTACCGCGTATAAACCTACTTTTAGTGATGGAATTGCCTTCAAGTTGATCTCGTTCTCCGACAGAAAGGCTAACATGTAAACAACAAATAAACACTTATATGTGTAAGGAAAAAATGACACTAACCGTCAATATCATGATGTCCTTTCTCATTTGTTTCTTGAAAGTCATCTATTTTTCTTTCAAATTCTAATATAAGAGAGTCGTGCATAGGCGGCGAGGCACGAACTTGAACCAATTGGTGTGATGGTGACACGTTGGAGCGTGCGTGAGTCGTGACAGACCGCGTCGATATTTGTCCTGAAGTCCGATGATCGATCTCCCTCGGCGATTTGTAAACCACAAACACAAGTTGTAAACAATTAACTCCTCCGATGGCTTCCCATTGTTTTCTCCGAATCTGCACCAGTCATCGTTCATACTAAAAAAGTATATGCCATCTGCGTGTTGCATTTTGATTCCTTTCATTTATATTTATGTAGTAAGAGGATCAAAAGGATATCTATCTTTCGGTACCTAATTACCTATTAATAATAATATTATACGAAATATACACGTTGAACCAGACGACAAAATGAAAGAATTACAATTTTATAACAACGTGCTAATTATGTAACGAAGAGCTTATTTAGTATACGAGTGGTGATGTGCGAGAGAAGGGTGAAAAACCATTTTACAAAAACAAGTCTTGTGTCCAATAACTCGTGTTGGGTAGTTATTAAAATAAAAAATTATTGCCGCTCGCTATAAGCTTGATGGTGATCAGATCCGTTGTGACCGACCCTGTGTTCTGAAGATAACCCTTGCCCATAAAGTGAAGGGGTTGATGTAGATGGTGAACGAGTTAACTTTGCCAAAACGGGGCTTCCGGTAGAAACATAAGAGTTATGTACAGTGGGTTGGTAATCAGAATGGCGATGTGAATGGTCGTGAATTACTCCGATCGGCGTCGGGTGAGAATATACGTACATGGAATTGGGTCTCGGCTCAATCGAAGGATACGTATATGCGGTTGGAGAGGCTGGAATCGAATGAGAGTGTGGAAAATCCCGTGGGGGCGAAGAAGAAGGAAAACGAGATGTTTTTTGGTACGAGTTATCTATAGATAGGTCATATAGGTCTTCTTCAGAAGAACGACGTTTAATGCGAGTTGTATCTAGGGCGGGCAATGCAGGTGCCCGTACATCCTTGCGTCGTCGGGAGGTAGTGCCTTCCTTTTTCGCTTTGGCGCGAGAATATCTGAGTCCACAGGCATTGCAAAGATCCTTTTTGCCACTTGGACCTTTTCGCCACTCCGGACTAGTGGTACTTTTACAAGCTACACAGCGCATAATACCCGCCGGGGGGTTACCTTTATTAGACATACTATTATATGTGTCCCGAGAACGGCTACCCTTTTCATCTAAAGTGGCTCGCATACCTCGCTGGCGAGGAGGGGGGACAACATCCGCATATATCGAACTTTGACGTGACCCAAACGAAACATATTGCTCATTTGCAGATGAAGCCTGAGAGGTTGTGAGAGGTGTCAGCGAGTTCCATGAACTAGGAGACTCAAAGTTGTGATGACCCCGGGATCCTGCGTCGGGGGAAGTGGAACTTAATCTTTCAGAAGGCAATAGAGACGTTTGAGTTAAATGTGAAGAGTGACTTGCAGGATATCCATATGAATGACCATTAGAAAATGTCTCAGCTTGAGAAGCTGGTAAAGACGAACAATAGCCATGTTCAGACGACTCGTAGCTGTGAGATAAATGCGAATATATGGGGAATGACCCCCGTGGTCGGTACAGTGTCGACTTGTGGCAGGCGAATATAATCTGTTCGTGAGGAATAAAGATGCTTTCAACTTCCCGGGTCCAGCCATTTTCATAAGGAAGATTTTGTAGAGCCTTATACCGGCGGGTACACGAAGTCTTCGCGTCTGAGCCGTTCGCACCCCCAATTTGGACGTCATTAGCTAATTTCTGGTATTCTTTGGGATCATAACCGTGTGTTGGCCATGAGAACACTATCACACGGTCTGTTGTATTTTTCAATATTTGGAAAATACGGGTCGGCGAAGAATGTTCAGGATAGGATTGCGCAATAGGAGAAAGAGCTCGATATAAACGAGTGCTGTCCTAACATAAAAGAAGATTGGGGTCGACAGTTATAAACACTAGGTAGGACTTATATTTACCTCTACATCCATATCTGGGGTGCCACACCAATTAGACCAAGGGGTGCGGTGAACCTCATCATTATCAGCAGGTGACATATCTATACGGTCAAATTAAATGGGGGACGCAAGATTCATAGCCGGTGAAATGTTATGGGGACGGAAGACATACCAACGACTGCGTGAATAAAACATAGAACAAGGTTATCGGCGGCCCAATTGATAACCAAATCACAAGCCATATAACTATCATCAGTTAATACCTTTTCTTCTTCAGGTAATGTATTTGCTGCTTCCGTGAACCCCAAGCGAACGCGGGTGCGACCCAAGCGGGAATAACGAACGCTGTGATAGAAACCAGTGAGTGTATGCCATTAAAATAGAGTTGTCTGCCAACCGGGTTACTGAGCCGTAGAGAGTTCGGCTTTGTAGGACTTTTCCAAGGTCTAACCTGGCACTAGAGTGTTCGTCGGGGTGTATAAACTCAAGTAAAGTGCGACCGATTATGGAATGCGCTTGAGGACCCAGGTGGGAAGAAAGAACAGGATCTACGTATAAGAAACGTAGGTCTTCTGTTAGCAGTGTCCAACCTATGGGATATGACACAAGTCTCAGAAAAACATGTCTGGTTATAAAACGCTTAAAATAAACGGAAAATACGAACAGCAACGCGTCTGGCCAAATTTCGAAGTGTATGCTTGAACATTACACGAAGAAGGGTAGGGAGAATGCTGATCATTGATCGGGGGCATGTGGGAGTGATCTAGCGTGTTAAAATGGGTGAGCATGAAAGAATGATCGATAGAAAAACAACAGCAGAATGGCGAAAGTATCAGAAAAAAGGGGAGGAAGGAATAAAACAGCAAACGTACACAAGATTTCCCCTATTCAGCTTTGTCTCAGACTGAAATTGAATATTTTCCTCGTCTCAAACAGATTTGCCACTCCGGAGCCCATCCCCAGCTCCGATCGATCGTATGTTCCGCGGTCTTGGCGTGCTCAGCTTCCGTGGATGCCGAAGACAGCCAGTTCTTTTTTCACCAATAATTTCATCCTTTGTTCCTCTCTTTAGGCCGTCTTCTTTAATATCATGTGTCTGCAAGATTTCTTCGTGGTATTTTACGTGATTTACTATTATTGTTTATTGATTTTGATTCTCTCAGAATTCCCGGCCAGGGATTCCCGACCATGACTGG